ACGCCCCACTGGGCACCCAGCGCTCTGGGGTCCCGATGGGGCCACCCTGAGCATCCCTCCTGAGCCTTTGCAGGCAGGCAGTCCCCTGGAGGTGCAGGTTTTGGGGATCTGTGAGGTTGTGGGGTGTAGGGGGCTAGGACAGGCCCATACCCCACACCCGCGGGCGCCAGCACAGGACAGCAGCATGCCCTTCCTGAGCGTGGGGTCTCTGTGCCGGGGTGTCTGGCAGGAGAGGGGAGGGGCAAGAGAGGGGCATGGCAGTGATGTTTGGGGTGGCCATCAGGGAGGGGGTCACGCTGGCCACACAGCACGTCAGCTGCCCAGCGCGAGGCCGCAGGACCCCGTGCAGACCAGGAGGCGGGGTTGGGATGGGAAAGGACGGTGGCCTGTGGTGAGGCTGCGTGGGACCACAGGAGCCAAGGGCCAAGAGGGAACAACCAAGACCCCAGCACTGAGCTTTGGGGGTCACTGTGAATCTGGAGCAGGCTGCCCCAGGGCCCCCAGGTCAAGCCTTATGTCAAGGGCATCTTCCTCTACGTGCACATGGGGAAACTGAGGCTCCGTGGGCTAGGTGTTGCTCCATACCTCAGCTGCCCGCCCTCCCCCTGGGCAGCTGGCCTGGACCGGCCTCCCCGCCATGCAGCCCACGGGGCTTCCTCGTGGCCTCTCAGGAAATGGCTAGGAGAAGGAAAGGGTGGGGCTCCCAGGGCCCTAGACCCAGCTTCTAGAAGGCAGTCACAGTGGTCACGTGTGTCCCTTTGGGCTTTAGTGAATAGCTTGATGAACTGAGGTCCCGAGATGCAGCCTCATCCCTTGGCCGGGTGCCTTCCTCCACCTACTGGCCGATGCTGAAATTGACCACCTTAACTGTGTCTCCTTAACACCAGGTCTCAGTTGAGAGGCTGTCTTGAATGTGTGCACGCATATGTGCACATGTGTGTGTGTGCACATGCACACGCATGTGCAAGCAGCATGTCAGTGCACACAGCTCTGGGGTGGGTGGGGCTAAAGCAGAGTAGGACCTGGCAGGGACGTGGGGATCCCAGAGAGGCTGCATCTGGCTCAGGGCGGGGCAGGACGCTGCTGGTGCCCCGCAGCCCTGGTTAACCGTCCCATCCCCAGGATTTGAGCACGCAAACCTCCTGCAGATCCAGGTAATCAGTGTTTCCACAGGTGTTTGTGGTGCTGAGTGGCCGATAGGGGGGGCAGGTTAGTAATGCCAGTGCGGGCCCCTCCCAAGCCAGCCAGCCACTAGGACAGCCCTGCACAGAAGCGTGCTGCCAGCCCCGCTCTGGGGACCTCTGGGGTCCTGTGTCCCCAGGATCGGACGCTGCAGCCCACGTGGAGGCCCTTCTGCTTCCAACCGTCCATGCCTGCCCCGCCCATCCTTGCCTACCCAGCATCCACACTGCATGGTGGTGTCCTGGCTCTAGCAGGTGTGGCTGGGGTTCTAGAGTCCCCCTCCTCCCCCCACCCCCGGGGCAGAGGGGGCAGGAGCTGGATGCCCATGACAGCCGGGAGCTCAGGGAAGGCCACACTCACCTGAGGGACCCCCCGCCCCCTCAGCCTTCAGCCTCTCCCTTGTTACCTGGCTGGGCACTGGGTATAGGACCTCAGGGAGGAGTAGCGGACTCATAGCCTCTACACAGCTCCTGACCCCATGGAAGGTCGGAGGCCTCCCTGGAGAGGGTGACATAGCCAAAGAGCCGAGAAGGCAGCAGCCTTCCAGTCCCCCGCCCCATCGCCATGAGGTCCCCTCGGCAGCCATCGAGCAGACCTGGGTGTGATTCTGCGGGACAGGTGGCCCACAATGAGAGCCCTCCAGCCAGCCAGGGAACCGAGACGGGCTTCCCAAAGGGGGGGGGGGCGTCTGAGCCACCAGGCCTCAGGCAGGAACGGCAGACTGGGCATGTGCAGTGGGGAGGCTAAGCCGAGGGGACAGCACGGATGACGTCTGCTGTTGGCCACACTTGGAACTCAGGAAAGAATGAGGGTCTCAGATGGGGGGGGCAGAGCCTGCCGGGCCAGGCCTCGGTCAGATGTGGGGCACTGGGTGTGCAAGCGGGGCTGGGTCCCTTTCTTCTCGCCTGGACACCCCAGAGCAGGGCAGAGTGCAGGCAGGGCCCCACAGTGGCCTCCTGCTTCTCAGCTGGGCCGTGGCAGTGCCCTCCTCCTGCTGCTAGGAGGGCAGAAGGCCACCAGCAGGTGCCAGGCCTGTGCCGACTGTTACTCTGCCCCTACCCCCAAGGACCTGTGCTGGTGCCCAGCACTGCTGTGGCTGGTCCCTGAGCCAGGCCTTCCCCCAGGGAAGAAGCTAGACATTGCTAACAGATGAGCTCCGGCCACTGCCTTGGACCGGTGCCCAGGTGGAAGGGTGCGCCAGGGTAGGAGGTGAGCACCGCGGCAGGTGCCCCGCCCCCACCAGGCCGGCCGGGCCTTCCCTGGTGAGGACGTCCACCCAGAGGCTGGCCCAGGCCAAGCCTCTCTGCATCCTTCTACCCAGAAGGAGAAAGAGGGTGCCATGCCCCAGCTGGGGGGTGACTTGGCCCCAGGCTTGCGGCTCTGCCAGATCAGTCCTCATGGGTTCATCCCTGCAGGCCACTGGGCAGCACGGCCCCCGGCCGCCCCGGAGCCCTTGCCTGGGCCCATTGCACCATGGGAAATGGGCTTCCAGCTCGCAGCCCAGGCCGGAGACCTCTCCTGACCTCTGCTGTCCCTCAGCCATGCAAACAGATTTTTTTTTGCCCCTGGCCCAGTGGGGGAGGGGAAGGGGGCAGGGGCAGTTGTGCCAAAATTTGATCCTTAGTCATTTTTTCCCCCGATTTCTTATCTGTAGAAAATATGACAAATCCAGAGACATGTCTTCAGTTACCGGCATTCCACCACCCAGGCGCCGCACACGGCCGCTTCCTTCCCCTCATGGGCCATGAGGTTACTCTTTTTAAACGGGATTACCACACACGCGTAAGCACTCAGCATGCACATCTGCCGCATCTTTGAAAGCCCGGTTTCTGGGCCCATCCAAGAGCTTTTGTTGGTGGCCTTGGCCCCTCCCGGCAGGGACACAATCTCCCAATGTGGCCCAGGCCAGCAAGGCTGCACACATGTCCCCACAGACCCATCAGCGGAGGGCGGGCACACGCCCAGCTTTGAGGGGGGGGGAGGGGGAGGGGGGGGTCCCGTTACTCCAGCAGGGCAGTGCCACAGCAAGGCTGGGCCAGTCCTGTGTCCATTCTTATACTTGGCCACAGGAAAAGGTGGCTGAGTGGGGTGCCAGGTAGGACCACAGCTCTGTGCACACACATTAGCCATCACAGATGGCCAGTGGGCTTGCATTGCTCAGGCCAGATGGGAGCCCAGCCCACCACAGACCAGTTGGTGAGTCTGCTCCCACCACATGGCCTCCGGGGCAGGGCTGTGGGCATCCATTCCTTCTGGGAGTCCAGGAGCAAATGGCCTGTGGTAGAGAAAGGAAGGACCTGCGAGGTCCTGCCGTGAAAGCAGCATCCAATCTATGAGTAGGACAGCTGGACCAGGGTGTGAGAGAGGAATGTGGCCTCGTGGAATGCCTTGTGCAAAGTGGGATTCAGAGGCAGGGCAGGGCTGGGTGCCCTGGCCTGGTGAGCAGAGTGTGCAGCCTCAGAAGAGACAGGCCCTGGGCAGCCGGAGGAGGTGCCGGGCAGGTAGATGGAGCCCTCACCTCTTCCTGAGAGCCTCCCTTGTATCCTCTGACCAGAACTCCTATAGGAAACAACTAACTGCGGGGTAGCTGCTGGCTCCCATCAGCACTGCCTGCCCAGGGAGCCTTGGGTGCTCTGGGCCCTCTGGGGGGCCTGGAACCCAGCAGGGGAGATCCGGGCAGTGGGGGGCTGTCAGACAGGCTGCACTGTAGCTGAGGGGGCGAGGGCAGCCTGGGGAGCCTGCCGTGGGGGAGCACCGTGTAGGTAAGGCTGGGCCAGGCATCCCAGGAGCTCCCGACAGCTGAGCCTGTGTAGACAGTGTAGGGCAGCTGGCCTTGGGCGTCTCTGTTGCCCTTCCCTGAGGTTCTCAAAAACAGTAAATCTTTTATTTATTTATTTATTTTGGTTGTGGGGCCTGAACTCTGGGCGCAGTTCCTCAGCTCTTCAGCTCAAGGCTAGCGCTCTACCACTTGAGCCACAGCACTACTTCTGGCTTTTTCTGCTTATGTGGTGCTGAGGAATGGAACCCAGGGCCTCATGCATGTGAGGCAAGCGCTCTGCCACTGAGCCACCTTCCCAGCCCTTTTACTTTAAAAAATATAGTCTTGGGCAGCAATCCAGGGATGCTCAGTGGAGGTTTGCTGGGTGCCTGGGGGGGGAGGGGGTCACCCATGGGGTTTGCTCATGAGCTGGGAATGGGGACCCCCTGGTGGGGGACGGGGACACCTGTCCCCCCTAAGGCCTGGATCCCCACTCCTGGTTGGGAGCCACCTCCAGAGTCCTACAACAAACCCACTAGGAAGTCCCATGGCGCTTGCCCGCGTGCCTAGGGCCCGGACATTACCCCACGCCACTGCAGGGGCCCAGAAAGCAAGGATGGAGGACCCAGTGTGTCGGGGAGCCCCGGGGAGCGGGCTGGGCAGGTGGGGGCTCGGCTGTGTGTCGGCCACCGCGGTGGGGCCCCCCGGCCTTGGCCTCGCTGCTCCCCTTCTCCCAGGCGACACCGGCTCGGGGGCCGCATGGCTAATGGAGGAACGGAGGCCTGGTGTGGGGCACGGCACGGCCAGCCCGGGGTCACTGTGGCATGCAGGGGTGAGGGCGAGGAGGGAGGCCCCGGCCCACGTGACCAAAGGTCGCGGGTCACTGCCTCTCAAGGGGCCACAGGGATTTCGCTGTGAGGGGGCGGGGGCCGCCGCTGGGAGGAGGGGTGCGTGTGCGCGCGCGTGCGCTCGGCCCGGTGCCCCGTGGCCCCCCACGGGCCTCAGTTTCCCCCCCGCTGAGCACCGCGGCCCGGCCCGCCGCCGCCGCGTGTCGTTGCAGCGCCCTGCAGGAGCAGAAGGGCGAGCTGCGCAAGCGGCTGTCCTACACCACGCACAAGCTGGAGAAGCTGGAGACCGAGTTCGACTCCACGCGCCACTACCTGGAGATTGAGCTGCGGCGGGCGCAGGAGGAGCTGGAGAAGGTCACGGAGAAGCTGCGCAGGTGCGGGAGGTGGGGCCTGGCTGGCTGGGGGCGGGGCCTGGAGGGGCGGGGCCTGGAGGGCGGGGCCGGGCCTGGCAGGGGCAGGTGGGGGCGGGCCTGGCTGGGCCGGGCCAGGAGGGGGGCCTGGCTGCGCAGGTGCGGGAGGCGGGGCCTGGCTGGCTGGGGGCGGGGCCTGGAGGGCGGGCCGGGCCTGGCAGGGGCAGGTGGGGGCGGGCCGGGCCGTGCGGGGGCCTGGCTGCGCAGGTGCGGGACGCGGGGCCTGGGTGGGGGCGGGGCAGGCCTGGGGGCGGGGCCGGGCCAGGAGCCCAGGGATGGCTGCACCCAGAGCCAAAGTCAGACGTGAGGCCCAGAAGACGGCTGCCAGGGAGCGATTCGTCCCATGTCCCTCTCCAGCCCCAGCCCTCTGCCCTGCACATTTACGCTCTCATTTGCGGTGTGGCAGCGCACAACAGGGGTCACTTATAGGACCCCAACTGGTCTACCAGGGTCCTTCACACACACTGTCCTGGGTCCTGCTAGGGAGAAGGGCGCCCCAACTCCCGCGACAAACCCCAGTTTAGGAGCCAGGTCCCTTGAGTATTGAGTGCAGCGGATCAGAGTCTCTTCAAAACCAAATTTTTCTATCGTTTTTTTCTGCCCCCTTGGAAAATGTCTTACACGCTGTCTGTCTCGCAGAAACGCTGTGCGTTTAGTTTGCTTTAAATATTTAGGGTGCCAGCTGGCACTGCTGCCCTGAGGGAAGGTCTGCTGGGAGGGATGCTCATCCCCCCACTCCTAAGTGGCCCCAATCTGCTGGTTTGGGGAATGTCACCAGTGAACTGTGTGGCACCCAGCCTGAGCCACAGGCAGGCCATCTTCCAGATGGATCCATAGTGTATGTAGCACTCGTCCATCATCTCCTCCTTGGTGCTGTGCAGTTGAGCTATCAACCACACCGCATGGCTTGTAGGCCTGTGTGGGAAATGCAAGGGAATTTGTTGTGACAAATTGTGGACCACAAGCCTCCCCTCTCTGAAGTGTTCCTTCCAGGAAGCCCTGTGTGGGCGAGGAAGAGCGAGCAGTGTAGCCCTGGGCTCAGTGAAGTTAGCTTTAAGCAGAACCTCTCCTGCTCGGGGCAGAGGAGCACACTTGGCTGCTTTGCTGGGGGTGAGGGCGGATGGTGCCAACTCAGGAGGGCATGGGACTTGTGGGAAGGTCCAGCCGTGCACTGTGTGACCCCAGGGCCTCCTGTGGCAGGATTCAGAGCAACTACATGGCGCTGCAGAGGATCAACCAGGAGTTGGAGGACAAGCTGTACCGCATGGTGAGGCCGCCCCTGGTGCCGCTCCCCACCCAGCCACCCCTGAGATGCCCAGCTGCTATCTCTTGCCATTAGCTAGGATGGTTCACTGAACGTGAAGTGCTCTGAGGATAGGAGGACACGGGGTCCAGGGTGGGTGAGCAGAGGGGACAAGCACCCCAGCCTGCAGACAGTGAGCTAGGCTGTAGGACCGAGGATCTGCCTGAGGTGGGAACTGCGAACCAGAGGCCTGGATCTGAGAGGACGGGTCCTGAAGTCAGCCCTGGTGAGCCCAGGGCCTCCCCCAGCCCAAACCCCACCTCACAGCACCCCAAAGAACTGGGTGCAGCATGTCTCTGCGGAGACCTGGCAAGAGCTGAGCTTGCGGTGGCCTGCTAGGGTTTAGGCGATAGACTCTGCAGCCACAGCAGGGAAGGGCGGGTACAGGGTGCGAGACTCTCCTTTGGTGCGGATGAGGAGGGTCCCTCTCTTTCCAGTTAGTTAGTTAGGTGACAGGCTTGTTTTGTTTTTGAAGATCAGAAGTGAGTGGTTAGTGCCTGCCTGTTATTGAGGTAAGGTCAGAGAGAGGCTACAGGCAGGCCTGAGGACTGGGCCTGGGACTTTTTTTATTTCCCATCCTCAGTTTCCCAATCTATCAGGTGAGATACACCACTCCAGACTCCTGAAGCAGGCCTCATGAGCTCTGTGTCAGCAGGGAGAACTTCAGTTGGGAGGAGGTGCAGTGCTCGGCCCAGTCAGTAGCGGGATTGGATTTGAACCCAGAGTAGTCTGTATCTCCTTCTTCCTGCACCCTGCACTAGTAGGCACACAGAGGCCTAATCTAACCACTGGGCTTGAGCACCAGGCTTTAGGCTGACCTCCTAGGAGCTGACCACTGACCACGCCTGCTGTCCCCACTGCCCAGGGCCAGCACTATGAGGAAGAGAAGCGTGCGCTGAGCCACGAGATTGTCGCTCTCAACAGCCACCTGCTGGAGGCCAAGGTGACCATCGACAAGCTGTCGGAGGACAACGTGAGTGCTGCGCGCATTTGCCCCGAGTGAGGCCGCGGACCTCGATGGGGGTTTCAGGACACATGGGCAGGCAGGGCCATCCTGATCAGTACAGGCAGTTGGACACAATGCCTAGGGCGGCTGGAGAAGGACAGACGGCTTCCTCCTTGAAGCCATTCTGCCCAGGGTCTCTCAGGAAGACCCTCTGCAGGAAAGACAGAGTTGAACACAGGCCAGGTTATGCCACGCGAGGCCCGCTGCCTGGCCCCAGGCCAGGGATCTGGCCACTCAGTCTTTGGCCAGCCCACCGTCCATTCACCAATGGACAGATGCACCTTGCCAGAGCCTGCTCAGAGATGAGGGTCACACACACACACACACACACACACACACACACACACACACACACACACACACTTGCCCACATGGTGTTTGCATCTGTGTGTAGACCAGACAGCCACACAGACTGGCGAGTGTTAAGAATTCTGAGCGCCCCAAGGAAAAACCAGCCAGGAGCAGCCTCAGGACCTGGTGGGCTGCAGGGCCTCACTAGAAGTCTCCAGAAGAGGGGGTCCTGGCCAGGAATGGAAGGAAATGAGGAGCCAGTCATGCAGACACGGGGGGAGGGGACCGTGAAGGGGGGCACGGCATAGCATTCCTTCCAGGCTGATGTCAGCAAGGTTCTCCCTCGGAGAAGAGCAAAGCCAGGGGAGGCCCTGGGTCTGGAGGCTTCTATCAGGAATCTAGGCTTTACTCTGAGAAAAACGGGGAGCTACTGAGTGTTCTGCACAGAGGGGAACGTCCCTGCACTTCAGTGTTACTTCCCGGCAGAGGACAGGTATGGGACAGTTACAGGTGTGGCAAGGCCAGGGTTGGGTTTGGGGAATAAAGCACCCCGCTCATCCTAGCGGTGAGCTCATGAAGGTGTAGGGTACTCCAGTGAGGCATCAGGGGGCTGGGGGTGGGGCTGGGACCCCAGAGTCCATCCACGGCGCAGGCCAGGGTGGGAGGCAGGTGGAGGAGGCAGTGGAGCATGCGGGCAGCCTGACCTGAGCTCCGGATGCTGCTCCTGGGTAAGCCGGGGCTGTGGGAGCAGCCTGGACAGGCATCAGGTGGGCCACGGGGGTATGCCAGGCAGACCCCCACCATCTGTCCCAGCCTGGCCGTGGACTCCGGAGGCGGGGAGGCAGGAGCGGAGGCCCAGCCTAGGCACATGCAACAGAGATTTCCGAAGGCACAAGTGACCCCCCTGAGTCCTACTGTTTGCATCTGTTTTTAGCTCAGGAGACTGAGCTAGTGCCTGCCTGCACCCGGGGTCACACACCTGTCCCAACCCTAGTCTGGCCCTGCGGGAGACGGGTGGCAGAGGTGGCGTGCGTCCCTGTCCTCAGCGGTGCCTGGCATTGCCACCAGCTACCTTTGCAGGGACTCTCAGAGGCCGGGGGCCAGCAGCCAAGACCTGGTGGATAAGCTGGGGGCCTCCAGGGGTCTACCCCGGGTAGAGCGGCCCTGCTGCCCACCCGGCCTCCTCCACACGCCAGCACAGACAGGGTCTCTGTGGTCTGACGATGGAGCACGGAGAGGGATGGGCCTGGAGACGGCCCTCATCTCACCGACTGCACAGCCCTCGGCACGTCCCACTGGCCCCTTGGCGCTGGCCAGGGCCGAGCTGTGCCCAACGCCGTCTCTTGTCTTCTAGGAGCTCTATAGGAAGGACTGCAATCTAGCGGCCCAGCTGCTGCAGTGCAGCCAGACCTACGGCAGGGTCCATAAGGTGTCGGAGGTAACGTGACCCCGCCCCACAGCCAGGCCCACCCTGCCCCAGGACCTCTCTGGGCTCCTTTAAGGCTGGTCCCACCCTGAGGCCACTCCCCACCCTTGAGGAGGAAGATGCTGGGTGAGACTGAGCCCCTCGCCCCTCCTCACTCGCCCGCCCGTGGGTCCTGGCTTTTCCAAGTGCCCCACGTCCCCAGGGTCCCTCAGGCCACTCAGGCTGCCTGTGGGGACTGCTCCCCGTCCCCGGGTGTGGCGAGACAGAGTGACCCTCCCAGCACCTGACACCAGCCATGTGGTCGGGGCAGAAATTCAGAAAGTTCCACACTGGAGACAAGAAACATTCTAAAAAGGGGGTCTCACCGAGGTCATGGGGCGAGCCGGTAGCAGAGCCTAGGTTCAGAACCAAGCCTGGTACCAAAGCAGCTGGGAAGAGGCCCTCTTGCCCATCTGTGGCTTCCTCAAGAGCTGGTCCAGGGACCCCACCCCAATCATGCTGTCCCCACCCCTGCCACAGGCCAGAATCTCCTCCCTAGGCCCCACCACACCTGACACACTCACAAAATAGATCAAACAGTAGTGAGGCACCCCTGCGTGGCACCCGGCGCGCCCGTGGAAACCACAGGGCACCCGCCTCAGGCCCCTCGATCTTTGTTGCATCTGTTTCTGAGTCTGTCTTGTTCAGCAGTGGGCGGGCAGCGACGCTGGTCGGGCACCCGCGAAACCTGAGCATCTGTGCCAAAGCAACGCAGCCCCTGGCCGGGTGGGAAATGCAGTGGGGCCCCAGGAGGCCCTGGGGCTGGGCGTCTCTCGGCTGCGCTGGCCCCTTTGGAATGGGGCGGTGGGTGGATGGAGGGGATGGAGGGTGGGGGCAGGGTGCCCAGGCACACGACGCCCCATCCTTGGGAGCCTGTCACGTCCAGAGTTCTGGGCCCCGGCCCCCACGTGTGGACTGTGAGGAGCCTGGGAAGTCCCTGCCGTCTGTCTGTCCGCCTGTCTTTTGTCTGCCTGCCTGTCGGTCATGCTGATGGCGGTCTGCAGCCTTGGGGCCGGACCTGGGCGGCTCCGCCATGCTGACGGTGATCCCCCCGCCCCCGTCCCCCCCATCCCCTCCTCTGCTCCTCCCTCTGTTCCAGCTGCCCTTGGACTTCCAGCAGCGCGTGAGTCTGCACATGGAGAAGCACGGCTGCAGCCTGCCGTCCCCGCTCTGCCACCCGGCCTACGCCGACAGCGTCCCGACCTGCGTCATTGCCAAGGTGCTGGAGAAGCCCGACCCCACCAGCCTGTCGTCGTGCCTGTCGGATGCCTCGGCCCGCGACCTGGCCTTCCGCGACGGGGTGGAGAAGCCAGGCCCGCGGCCCCCCTACAAGGGGGACATCTACTGCAGCGACACGGCCCTCTACTGCCCCGACGAGCGGCGGCGAGACCGGAGGCCCAGCGTGGACGCATCCGTGACCGACGTGGGATTCCTGCGGGCCCAGAACTCCACCGACACCGCCGAGGAGGAGGAGGAGGCCGAGGCCGCGGCCTTCCCCGTGGGCTACCGCCACGAGGCCTTCCCGGGCTACGCGGGCTCGCTGCCCACATCCAGCTCGTACTCGAGCTTCAGCGCCACGTCGGAGGAGAAGGAGCACGCGCAGGCCAGCACGCTGACCGCCTCGCAGCAGGCCATCTACCTGAACAGCCGCGACGAGCTCTTCAACCGCAAGCCCCCGGCCGCCGCCACCTACAACGGCGGCGGCCCGCGCTTCGCCAAGGCCGCCGCCGCCGCCCCGCGCGAGGCCGAGGTGGCCCCCGGCTTCGGACGGACTGTGTCTCCGTACCCGGCCGAGCCCTTCCGCTTCCCGGCCTCCCCAGGGCCGCAGCAGGCGCTGATGCCACCAAACCTGTGGAGCCTGCGAGCCAAGCCGGGCAGCACGCGGCTGGCCAGCGAGGACCTCCGGGGCCAGTGGCGGCCCCTGAGCGTGGAGGACATTGGGGCCTACTCGTTCCCCGGAGGCACCGCCAGCCGCGCCTCTCCCTGCAGCTTCTCCGAACGCTACTACGGCGGCAGCATGGGCAGCCCGGGCAAGAAGGCCGAAGGTCGCGCCAGCCCCCTCTACGCCACCTACAAGGCCGAGAGCTTCTCCGAGGGCGACGACCTGTCCCAGGGCCACCTGGCCGAGCCCTGCTTCCTGCGCAGCCTCAGCCCCAGCCGCTCGGCCGACCCGCTCCCCGGCTACGCGCCCAGCGACGGCGATGGGGACCGGCTCGGAGTGCAGCTGTGCGGGGCCGGCAGCAGCCCTGAGCCCGAGCCGGGCTCCAGGGACTCCCTGGGGCCCAGCTCCATGGAGGCCTCGCCCGAGATGCACCCCGCCGCCCGCCTCAGCCCCCAGCAGGCCTTCCCTCGGACTGGAGGCGCGGGGCTGAGCCGCAAGGACAGCCTGACCAAGGCCCAGCTCTACGGAACCTTGCTCAACTAAACGCCCCACGCAGGCCACGGCCACGGGCCCTCCTCCCCACTCCCGCTCCGGCCACGTGGCACCTACAAGGGTGCAGTTCCCTTTCTCCCAAGACACCCCGTTTCCCGAGCCCCTTGTCCAGGAGGAGGCACTCCTGCCTAACCCCTCCCCGCACCCCAGCCCGGTAGAACCCCCGAGGACAACCTGCTGTATTGTCGACGTGTCCAGCCCCGGCTACCACTACGGACCCCCGCTTAGGTGTTTTCACATCCCCACACCCTCCCAACCCGAGGTGAGCGCCCTCCCCTTTTATAAAGCGATACTATTTTTCTAAGAGAAAAGGGTCTTTCTTAACGCCCCCGGCCTCCAGCTTCTGGATGGCTGCCTTGGCGTTTCCAACACGAAGCTCCTTCATCTCTTCAGTGAAGGTGCAGGGGGCTTGCCCAGGGCGAAGGCGAGCGTGCCCCAGGGAGCCCGGCCTCCGCCAGCGGGGAGGCTGCAAGGCAGTGATAAGGGAACCCCAAAATTCTGACCACTGAGAGGGGAACGGAAACCAGTGAGGGCACAGGAAATGTCAAAATCCAACTTCCCACAGTGCGGCCAGCACAGTACCCCCCCCCCTCCCCCCAGCTCCTTCATGGCCCGCAGTCCCGAGTGGGGCCGGGACGAGGTCCCAGTACGGCCCGGTGCTCGCTCCACCCCGCCCCCCGCCCCCCACACCACCTCGGTCTACCTCAGACGTATGAGGCCCCCGCCCCACCCCGGCACTCCCTCGTCTGTGATGCATGCCGTCCCGTTAGTATTGTATTTTGCATTCATTAATAAAAGACACCAGTGGAAAGCAACCAGGTGTGGCTGTTTGTTCTCTCGCCATCGGAGACCGGAGGATCGGGCCCCTGGCCCCTCCACAATGTCTTCCCGGACCTTGCTCTCCACCAAGATGGGCTCACAGCTCCACCCCGCCACCCCTGCACCGGGGCCCTTTGGGTTGTCCAGTGAACTCATCACTCCCTTGCTTGCTATCTCGGTTTACCCAAAGTATTTTTTTGTTGTTGGTGGTGGTGGTCATGGGGCTTGAACACTGGGCCTTAGCACTGTCACTGAGCTCTTCAGCCCAAGGCGAGTGCTCTACCACTTGAGCCACAGTGCTGCTTCTGGTTTTTTGGTGGGTAATTGGAGATAAGTCTCAGAGCCCAGGCAGGCTTTGAACCGAGATCCTCAGATCTCAGCTTCCTGAGTAGCTAGGATTCCAGACATACGCCACCAGTGCCCGATTCAAAGTACACTCTTTAGAATTTCCTTTAGTGTAGCCTGCTGGTGGCTGAGACTGCAATCCATTATGTAGCCTGGGCTGACCTTGAACTCATGATTTCCCTCACCTCAGTGCTGAGATTACAAGTGTACACCACCATGCCTAGCTAAGCTCTGTTCTTATTGTCCTGAAAAGTATTCTGCTGGGGATAGAAAGCATCCTGCTTTGTGTATATGTAAGTTCCATATCTTAGGGAAATTGTAGAAAACCAAAAGTCAGAGACGGAAGAAAAAAACAAGATTACCAGGAAGGGGGGAGCTCCAGGCGAAGCACGACCCATATACATAACCCTTCTGGTCCATGTAACTCTTCCTGGTTATTGTCTTTTTCTTCTGTCTCTGATTTTTGGTTTTCTACAATTTCCCTAAGGCACACCTGCGTGAGATTCCTTGTTAGCTTTCACAGGGACTCTGTGTATCTGTGGATTGATGTGTTCTTTTAGTCAGTTCTGGAAAATCCTTGACCTTTTTTTTTGGGGGGGCAGAAGGGGTTCCTCAGGGTCTGGGTACTATCTCTGAGCATATTTGCTCAAGACTGGTGCTCTGCCACTTGAGCCACAGCTCCACTTCCAGTTTTCATTGGTTAATTGGAGACTTTTCTGCCCAAGTGGTCTTTGAGCTGTGATCCTCAGATCACAGCCTCCTAAGGAGCTAGATTACAGTAGTGAGCCAGCAGCATCTGGCAGACCTTTTCCTTTTTCTTGGTCGTGGGGCTTGAACTCTGGACCTGGGGTGTCCCTGAGCTCTTCAGCTTAAGGCAAACACTCTACCATTTGAGCCACAGTGACACTTCCAGTTTATTGGTGGTTTATTGGAGATAAGGGTCTCATGGACTTTCCTACGCAGGCTGGCTTTGAACCTTGGTCCTCAGATCTCAGTCTTCTGATTGAGATTACAGGTGTGAGCCTTTAAACAGTATTTTCCAGCATTCTCTTTCTGCTCTGCCTCTGGAACTGTGGCAGACCCTCTACTGTCATCTTTCCGCCGCTCTCTCCTGAATTTCCCTGATTTTGTCTCACGCCACTGCAGTCAGCATGACTCCTCGCGTGTTCACTCAGCCACTGGGTTTGTTTTCATTTCAGTGGTGAACGGCTTTCACTTCCAGCAGTTCTGTTTGTTGTTTTACAGATGTACTGTGGGCCTGCGTCTTCCTATTCCCTGGAGCTTCTTTAAAGCTCATCCCTTGTTTTTGTAAAGCTCGCAGCGTAGCCAGCTCCCAGGCTGGGTCTGGCCCGGCCGCCGTGTGGTGTCTGAGTCAGCCAGCGCCTGCTTCCACCCTTGCTGCCATGATCAGCCCTGACAGGGGTCTGGCCGGCCCCTGTGCCTGCAGAGCTCTGCAAGGTGTGGCGAAGGCACATTACACCTGCTTCCTTTGGGCACCTGGGGGCCCTTCCCATTGAGGGCCACTCACCCCAAGCTCATCACCTGGCTTTAAAGCTAGCCCCAGATGGGCCCTGAAGTTCCGGCTCTGGAGCACCTAAAGCTTTCAGACCCTACGCCAGCTGGTGCTCCTCAGCTGGTTGTCTGGTGCTCCACTTTCCCTGACTTCAACTCCAGGGACCCCAGGGCTCACACACACACGTGCCGCTGGTCCAAGCCCTGCCCTGGGTTGGGGCTTGGTGTTTCCCTCCTGACCTCTTGCTAGATCCAGCTGTGACCCTCTGCTGGCCTCTGGGGAATCCGGCTCTCCCCCCTAGGAGCCCCTAGGTGGGGGAGGGAGGGGACACTGGGCTCAGGGCATCCAAATAGGGAGAGTCCCCACCACTCCAGGCCAAAGAACGGAGAAGGTCAGGAGAGGTTCATGGTGAACGTTGAAGCATGAATAGGCAAAGGGAAACACTCGTAGAAAGGCACGCACATGTGGCACTGGGGAATTCCCAGCTGTCCCGTGCTCCCGAGTGGCTCCCCCGCAGGCTCAGCCGCCAGCAGGGTCCCTGGAGTGTTGCCACAGCCAGGCTGTTCCTGTTGGCGCTCCCGTACACACGCGGTGGGGCTGGGAAGGCAGTGGTATTCCCTCCGCCGCCGCCATGCCCTCTCCCTCCACTCCTTCCCGCTTCATCTTCAACGAGGCCATCTGTGCATCCACGCGTGTTCGCCTCACTCTCCACTGGGGCAGTGCCCAGCTGGGTCGGGGACGCAGGCTTTGCAGGCAGGCGGCCCTGGGTGCAGGCTCCGGGGTGGCAGCCTCTCCGGGCGGGGCCGTGTGTGGCACAGGCAGAGGAAGCCGCGTTTCTCCACCGCAGCTCGTGATCTGGCAGGCAGGATGGGGGTGCACCTGGGCCCAGGCGGGGGGGGGGGGGAGGACCCCGCGCTCCCTGTTCACTTCTGCTCAACACTAAATTTAGCTCTCTGCTTTTTAAATTGCAAATGGTGAACTCTAGATACCTTGCCAGGTGTCAAAGTCACTGCGTGTGGAGGCTCTCTGGAAGAAAGCATTTGGAAAAGGACATGGCCAACGCAGAGCCCCTGCCTTTCCCCCCTGAAGCCAGCTCTGACGGGGAGGGGTCAGCGGCAGGTCCGTTGGGGCCCATGTCAAGAAACCAAGTCCCTAGGGAGGTAGCAGTAGGACATCCACAGCTGCTCCCCAGGGGCCCTGCACACCCCCTCCCTGCAAGTCACAGCTGCAGGTCAGATGAACTGGACTACCAAGTTCTTCCCCCGTGTGTCCCACTTCACAGAGGGGTAAGCTGAGGCTCAGAGGTGCCAAGTCCCACGCTACCAGGGCATGCCTTGGGATCTGAGCTGGTCTCAGGGCTCCAAATGCCCCAGGATCATGGGCCGAAGGCTTTGTGTAGGTTTGAGAGGCTGGACAGCCAGGGAGGAAGGAGAGGCCGGGGAGGAGAGGCTGTCCCAGACCTCCCTGTGTGCTGGGAGCAGACAGATGGGTGGTGGGGAGAGGGCTAATGCAGGGGGCAGCAGAGCCGTGAGGCGGGGCGGGCAAGACCAAAAGGAAGCAGGCTTCCCGTTCTGCTCACACCTGCACCGCTCACTCGATACATCTGAGCGGACGCCCTCACAACACTCCAGCCCCACACCCCAGCTAAGAAACATCTTCCCCCACCAAGGCCTCCAAAGGTCATGTTCTCCCCGCCAGCTGTCCAAGGGACCCTGGATTTTTGGGATGGCCCCTCAACTACAGTGGCACTGGCCAGCTGAGGCCCTGGGAGCTGAGCGTTCTCCCAGGGAGGGAGGGAGGGTCTTCAGGGACCCTGCTTCTCCTCTGCAGGACAGATGCACGGCCTGTTCAGTGCGGACACTGGCCTGCAGCACTGGGAAAGCAGCAGCTAGGGGCCTGGGGCATGGATGGAGCGGGGAGCTGACCGGCCATAGTGCCTGGTAGAGAGAAGGGCCACGGAGCTATGGGCTTGGGGGCAGACCCCAGACCCAGGCCCCCATGTGAGAGCACCCCAGAGCGGCGGTGCCACCACAAGTCCCACCGTGCTGTCTCCAGAGCCCGGCGGCGGCAGAGCAGGGGACGCCAGCCACACACATGTGCTGCCCAAACCTCCTCAGAAGCAGCAGGACACACATTTATTGGGCATCACCAGGCATCTGACACTTTCTTCATACAGCACTCACACCCAGACAGCTTCTTGCCCCCTCTGCACAGATGAAGAAACTGAGGCCCGGCAGACGGTGGAAATGGCATACCCCAATCCCTGCCTCCTCCCAAGGAACAAAGGGAGCCCCAGGCATGGGCGTCACTGCCAGATCTTGATGTCGCCTCCCCAGGAGCAGGTGGCCAGGACAGAGGGCAGCACGGGGTGGTAGGTGGTGCCGAGGCAGGCCTGCGGGTGTCCCTGCAGCGTGCATGCCCGGCGGGCGGTGCGGAAGCTGAACATCAGGACGCGGCCATCGGCGCTGCCTGTCACCAGCAGCTCTCCACATGGGGAGCACTCGCAGCCCACGGCGTAGCCTTCCACCTGCAGAGAGCGACACAGCCATGAGCGGCCTCCCTGCCCGAGGGCGCTGTGGGGCACCAGCTGGCAGGGGGCAGAGAGGGGCTTCAAGGTCCAGCAACTTTAAGGCCAAAGCTTCTCCCAGGGGGCCACAAACATGGCTGGACTAATAAGATCTGGGTGTGGCAGCCTGGCGTAGCGGGGAACCCGGCCTCGGTGACAAATGATGAACCCCCCTCCCCACCAACCCCAGGAGGAAAAACAGGCCTCGCGCAGGAAGGGCCTCCCTGGTGGGCCTCATGCCCACCCCGTGTGAGCTGCCTCCCATCTCCCTGTCCACAGCCGGAAACTGGATGTGGCCAGGGTCTTGAGTGGACCTCAGCCCACGTGGCACAGTCACCTGGAAAAGGAAGTAGAATCTACCCATGTGGAGGGGGGTCCATGCACCCTGGGGTTCCGCATCCATTCATGACGCCACCCAGCAAAGGCACTGGGGCTCAGGCAGTGCTCAGCTGGGACTCAGGCAGTGCTCAGCTTGGGGTGGGGGGGAGGGCGAGGTTACCTTGTGCCCTTCGTAGCGCCGCCGCCTGCTCATCCGGTAGGGCCACACGGCCGAGAAGAGGGCCAGGTAGTTGCCGTTGGTCTGTGCCAGGAATACAGGCTCCCTGGGGTGCAAGGCGAGGCTGGGGCACGTGTACCTCTCCTAAGAAAAAACAGGGCCACAGGATGAAAGGAGGCCTCAGGTCGAGAGGAGGCAGCTGGAGTCTCCTGGCTCCAGAGAGCCAGCCCACACGCTGTGCTTGGGGCCCGGGGCCCAGCCCCTCTCTCTCCCCAGCCATGGTGGGGGTCTGAATGAGGTCCTTCTTGCTGCACCAACTCAGTGACCTGGAGGAACACAGATATGCTGTGCATGTGCCAACGGCAGCCTGACATGGAATTCACTGGGCTAGAGCCGAGGCTGGGCGGTAACGCTCCTGCAGGCTGCGCCGTCTCCAGAAGCCACCTGCAACTGCTGGGAAATGAATCCCCAGACGCGCTCACGTCCTGGGTCCTGAGGCCTGTGACTGCAAACCAAGAACCTTAGCGGATACGAGCAGGTGAAGGGGGACGTTACCCTCCGCCACTGTCCTGCATGCCATCGTGCAGCCCCTAAAGAGGGAGGCGGGAACGCTTCTCTCCCGGAGGGGCTCTGGAGGAAGTGGCCCTGCCACCCTGGTTTCAACCCAAGAATACATCCTGTTAGTACAGATGTCTGGCCTCCAACCTGGGAGAAGAAATTTGGGCTATTTCAAGCTACCAAGTTTGTGGTCATGTTTCCAGTGAAATAGAAAAAAAGACACTCATCTCTCTACCTCCCCAGGAAGCTGAGGTGGCTGGTGAACAGCCAAACAGAAGATAAAGACAGCACACTATGCAAAGCGTGAGGGAGTGTGGATGGGAGGGCAAAACTGAGAGAGAGCGAGGGAAGGGGTGAAATATGCTCTTCACCCCACTTCCATAACTGTAGCCCCTCTGCACAAAACCATTTTAAAAACCATAAGGGGGGCAGAAAACACCCTGCAAACCTCCCCTCTCCTGGAGTCTGGCTTGGCCTAAATATTATCCATGAGTGGCCAAAGCGGCCTGTAACACTAGACCACATGGGCTGGATGATGAGTCCACTCCCTAGCATGACCTCACAGCTCAGTCACCGGCGTAGGAGGCATGGGTACACCTCCCCTCCGCAGCAGTCCCCCCCCCCCCCCCCGCCTGCCTCCCGAGCTTGGCCACAGGCCTTGGTGTTCAGGAGGCTCTTCGTGACCAGATGTGCCCTCTGGCCCCAACCAGTGAGGGATTGCACTGGAAAACCCTGCTGTGAAGTCTAGAGGTGACTTTGCTCAGGTTCACTCTGAGAACAAAAGGCAGGGTGGAGGAGGCACACAGCTGTACGTGATAAGTATGTTAAGATTCAGGGTGGAGGCACCAGAGATTAGTCATGGCTTATTTGAAAGCTCCACAGAAGATGATAGTGCTGTTTTGGCAGCACACACACTAAAACTAGAATAATGCAGAGAAGATTAGCATGACCCCTGAGCAAGGATAACAGAAATTCATGACGAGTGGCATAAATAAAGGTGGTGGTGGTGGTAGCGGTGGTGGTCCATGGTGGTGATGACCGCAGCGGTGATTGTGGATGAGGATGATGAGGATGACAATGACCGCAGTGGTGACAGTAACAATGATGGTGGTAGTAAACGAAATAGTGATCATGGTGATGGTGGTCGAGATGATGGCGATGGCGGTGGTACTGGAGATGGTGGTGGCGACAATGGCAGTAATAGTGATGGTATAGGAAGGATAGAAATGGTGGTGGTGGTAATCATGATGGTGGTAAGTGACAGAGATGGTGGTGGTGGTGATGGTGGTGATGATGATGGTGGTGTTAATGGAGATGGTGGTGGTGATGATGATGTCAGTACTGATGGCTATGGTAATCATGACGGTGGAGGTGACAGAAGTGGTAGTGGTGGTGGTGGTGGTGAATCATGGTGGTGGTGGTGATGGTGGTGTTAATGGAGATGGTGATGGTGATGATGACGTCAGTACTAATGGTGGTGATGGTAATCATGACGGTGGAGGTGATAGAAGTGGTGATGGTGGTGGTGGTGGTGAATCATGGTGGTGGTGGTGATGGTGTTAATGGAGATGGTGGTGGTGATGATGATGTCAGTACTGATGGCGATGGTAATCATGACGGTGGAGGTGATAGAAGTGGTGATGGTGGTGGTGGTGGTGGTGAATCATGGTGGTGGTGGTGATGGTGGTGTTAATGGAGATGGTGGTGGTGATGATGATGTCAGTACTGATGGCGATGGTAATCGTGACGGTGGAGGTGATAGAAGTGGTGATGGTGGTGGTAGTGGTGGTGAATCATGGTGGTGGTGGTGATGGTGGTGTTAATGGAGATGGTGATGGTGATGATGATGTCAGTACTAATGGTGGTGATGGTAATCGTGATGGCGGTGGTGATAGAATGGTGATGGTGGTAGTGACAGAGGTTGGTGAGGGTGATAATGGTGGTAGATATGATGATGGGAATGATGGCAGTTTTGGTAAGGACAGGTAAAGGATGATAGAGCACTCTGTACCTGGCAGTATAATATGCCCTTTATGAGAATTCTCTCTTTTAATTCTTGAAACTACTCCATAAAAAGTCATAATCTCCTCAATTTTCTAATGAGGAACATGAAAGTCAAGGAGGCTAACTAATGGCTGTCAAGTTCTAACTTCAAGTCCCAGCTCTGAACTCCTGTGACGCCTGGCAGGGCTTCCGGGGAGGCGCAGGCCAGGCCTTGGCCAGGCGTGGCTGCTGAGGGCAGGGGCAGGGGCCAGAGGCCATCTTCCCCTCTCGGGGGGCTGTCCCCGCCTAGGGGAGCAGACCCTGACTTTCACCTTCCCCCGCCGAGAGACTCCAGGCCCTGCAACCCCAGCCTGAGGACGGGGGCCCGGCACCCCACGGGGAGCAGGACTGCGGCAATGTGCCTGAGACTGAAATCAGGGCCCACCCCTCGCAGGCCGGCTCACATGGAAAATCTGGTTAGAGATTTTGGCGGAGGTCCTGAAGTCCCAGGCAATGATGGTGCGGTCGGCGGAGTCCCGGGTGGAGGCATCCGTGCTGCTCAGGAACTCAGAGCCTTCCTGGAGGAAGAGGATGTCCAGGGTCTGCTGGATGGTCGCCTTGTAGCCTCTCACCACCTGCAGGAGTAGGCACAGGTCACACTGGCAGGGCCTGGAAGCACAGCGCCGGTGCCCACCCAGCGGGGAGGCCGGGGGATGGACAGACTTACTGAAGGCCAGTCTGGTCCATGCCCCACCCACATGTGGGGTCACCCACAATGCCCCCCCCAGCTCCCCAGCAGACCAACATCTGTCTTTCTTGGGAGATGCTGTGATGGAAGCCTGGCCCGATGGCCATTCCCAGCACCCCTGCTGGAAGCTGGGCAAGTCCACCTCCCAGGCAGACAGGGGACCCTTGGAGGTAGCTGGAACCCCGTGAAAGTGCGCGGGGGAAGGGCTGGAGCCTTGCTCCCGGGCTGAGGAATGCAGTGGCGGCCAGCAACCGCAGTGTCCTATTTTGTGAGAGTCTGTGGGTGCGAGGTCCTGAGTGACAGTCCCTGGGGGAGTGACCACCACACAGGGCGCCAGCATTCTTGGAGACGGATATAAAGCCGAATCAAGGGGATGCACTTCCGCTTCAGAGGCACATTTCCTCTCCCAGCACCCTCAGTGGTATTCCACAGCCTCCAGCCTCCCAAACTACACTGTGGCCACAGGCACACCATGCCTTTCCAGAGCTGCTCGTCGCCCCCTGCTCCTCGGCCAGCACACCTGGGGCAGCGGGGCGTGGCGGGGGGGGACCAGGACCCCCAGCAGCGGTGGCCAAACTCACAGATGGCATGACAGTATATTACAGTGCTGAAATGCCAGGCCCAAGTGCCCGCCATTGTGACGGAAGCAGCGTGATGGGGGGGGGGGGGGGCCTGCGGACCTGGCCGCGGTCACCAGCCGCCAGGGTGCCACTGCGAGGCTGCAGCGCACACAGCTCTTGGTCCCTTGGCCCTGCCTGCCATGAAATGAGTTCATGCCTTTCAAGATGTTCAGTGAATGCATTCCATTGTCCTCCTTCAAATGTGTGTGCCCAGTTCACATTCCAGTAGCACCCCCGTAAGCCCCGCTTGCACTGGGAGGGAGGTATTAAGACCCACTCTCCAGGCCAGGCCGATTCCTGCCTCTCCAAGTTCCTGGCAGCACATTTCTGGACATAGGTAAGCAACACACGCTGCTCTTCTGTGATACAATCACAAGCAGACTGGTGAGAACCGCTCTGCCTGTGCCAGGCGGCTCCTAGCTCCTTGGCAGAACTGCAAGCTTCCACATGGTCTTAGTTGAATACCACAGCCCCAGTGAAGGCCCCTCACCCCCTCATCCCACAGGGATGATGCATGAAGGGGGGTGCAGGTGGGAGGGCCCTTCCTGCCACTCGGAGTGAGGACCACTTCTCCCAGAGGCCACGTGCCTCTCGGCCATCAGCCGTCCCCAGCCGAACTCCCAGCGTGCCCGCCAGCGCTGCCACCTGCCGCCCGAACATATGGAGGAGAATGAAAGGCGGTGTCCTGACCATTTTCTCAGAATGCCTGGGAATGGCTCCACTCACGGGGGCATCATAAAGGTGACCGTTCAGGATGCCAGCTGGGTTAGGGGTGCTCCCTGCCTGTGAAACCCGCTGCTAGAGGAGGGTGGGGCAGCCGGGTGCTCACTGGCACGTGACCGATGTGCCTTCCTGCTGCCCGAGGACACACGACCCGTCTGTATGTCTAGAGCAGGCTTTGCAGTGTCTTCATGACACAGGCAGCCGGTGTACCCCATCCCAGGACATGGCCACTGTCCACAGCCTGGTTGGCCAGACCAAAAGGGGAGCCTAGTTCAGGGGCAGTCGTGCCCTCCATGTTGGGTAAGTGGGCAGCTGGCCTTGGGGAAAGTAGAAGATGAACCACACCCTACCCAGGAGATGGAAGCCACTTGAGGGCCTTAAGGCGGCATGCTAGAGAGCCTGGCCACTGCGGACCCAACTGCCTCTCCCAGAATTCTGGGAGACGCGCAGTCTGCGCCCACAGACAGCTACGCAGCAGGAGTGTAACCTCACACAGCTCACAGGGGGCAGCCTACCTGCCACCAAGTGCACCCTGTTGATACATTACCAAAAAAAAATTATACTGGCAAAGGAAAAAATGATATAAACATGAGAGGACAACACAGTTGACTTTCTCTGAAACATGGGGCTTGGTTTTCTCTGCTATGACTCCAAAGTAAGAAACAATTAAGATCTAATACACAGACAACTTCTCAAAGTAGATGAACAAGACCACAACTCTATGGGGGAAAAATGTGTGAGATTTCCAGGCATAATCCCAGCTACTCTTGGAGGAAGTGGTCAGGAGGATTATACTTCAGCTAAGGCAAAAATGTATCAAGATCCCATTGCAACAAACAAGCGAGGCATGGTGGTCCATGTCTGTAATCCCAGCTCCTAGTAGGTATAGGAAGGAGGATCACGATGTGAGGGTGATCTGGTACAACAGCTGTCACCCCATTGATGGCCAGGGTTGATTCGGCTGATCTGGCTGGCTAGGCGGGTGTCCTCTTCCTCCCTCACCGCTCCATGTGCGTCCCTCCCGAAGCTGCGCCCTCGGTCGAAGAGGACGACCATCCCTGATAGGGGAGGACCCGTCTTTGGTCAAGGGTATACGAGCAGCTGCGCTCCCCTGCTAGAACCTCCAAACAAGCTCTCAAGGAAGGAGGATCATGGTACAAAGTCAGCCCCTGGGCAAAAATTAAAGCAAAAGAGGGCTAGGGGCATGGCATAAATAGTAGAGTACCTCCTAACAAGCATAAGGCCCTGAGTTTAGACTACAGTAATGAAAAACGGGGGTGACGGAGGGACAAGGCAGTAAGAGAATATAGTTCATAGAAAAGAAAACGGCCCTCTCACCGCATTCAGACCCAAGGGCAGCACAAACTAATCCACACAGGATGCCACTCTCACCGAGCAAATCAGTGAGATCCCACATCCAACAGCAACCCCCACCTGGGGAACCACGGAGTGGGGGGGGCCCTCTGGGCAGCTAATTACAGCTGCCAGAAACACGCAGCACAAGAGCTGAGCTGTTTGCAGCAAACTGCAGAGGAGCTGTTACTCAGCTGCACATGCATGCCACTCAGCACCTTTTTTCTTCTCTCTGGCTCTTTCTTTGTCTCTGTCTCTGTCTCTCTCTCTCTTTGATAGTGGTATTGGGGTTTGAACTGGGCATTTCTGAGATAGGACCTTGCTTTGTGTGTGTTTGTGAGATCAGGACTGGCTTGGACTGTAATCCTCCTATTTATGCTTCTCATCACAGCTGGAATAACAGGCATGTACCACCACACCTAGCTTTTTCTGTTGAGATGGGGGGTGTCTCATGATCTTTTCTGCCTCTGCTGGCCCCAAACCACAAGACTCACGCTGCGGCCTGCTGAGTATCTAATATTACTGGGTCGAGCCCCAGGTGCTCAGCATCCAGCACTCACTTCTAAGA